ATTAGGAATAGCTATTAATCATATTTAAATAAACATCCTTAAAGAATAATAAAATGCTTGGAGTAACAAGAATTCTTTTCCATTTCCAATATAAAGAGATAATAAGCAAATGTATAAGAACAGAATGATCTGTTTTTTCATAAATTAAAGAGCAAGATAATTTGCTTATTGAATAATCTCCATAAATAGATATGAACAATTTGCCCTAAGAAAATGTTCCAATAGTCAGAGACAAATTAATTCTGACTGTTCAAGTTCTTGTTTGTGTACTTGTATTGTTTTATTTTCTTTTCTGAAATTCTTTGATACGAAAAAATTAGAAGAATTCAGATGGGGGAAAAATAGCCAGCATGGGAGAAATCCCCCTACTTTCCTTTCAAGGGGGATAAGAGAAAAATTGGGAGGAGAAATGCAGTATATATCTATAAATATTTCACTTCGAGATGGTGGGAGGGATGTTGTCAAAATTATACTGATCTTTTGAGTTTTGTTTTATGATACTTATTTGTTGTTTTTTATGGTTTGTTTCCTAAACAATCATATCTCCAATTTCATGCTACACAAAGCTGCTGAAATATTCACATAAGTCACTGAGTCACTCCAATCTCTCATGACATTTAGACACAAAATAATGTACAGATTCACATTTCATTTGGGGCTCTCTCTTGAGCTTAGAGTCTGTGACTTTTGCCATAGCAAAGGGCTGTGTGATTGAAAAGCCTACCTTCAGATTCTGGGATCTAGAGCAGCTTTGCAGCTGGTAACAAGGAAACAGCCCCATGACACTATACTAGGTGATTTCATAATTTTCTAATCATTTTCAAATGATGATATTCTCAAAACACAAATGAGATGCTGTCAAATATGGTTTCTTTGCTTTAAGATCCTTTTAACTGCACACAAGTGATTTAAAACTAATTGTTTTTTCTACTTCTTCATAGTGAGGCAACTTGAAAACTCAAGGTTGCTGCAGACACTTTTATTTCCCAAAGTGTTGCTTTCTTTAATATTATAATTTGTATTGAAATACAGATATGGCTAATAACTGTATATATTACCATGTTACTATAACGATGTATCATGAATATAAATGTAGTAAAATAAGACTATTTTAGGGTCATATTTCTTTCACACGATTGTGATTATCACTCCACAGCCAGTAATCCATTCAACTATTACCAACTGGTTTCAGACCAGGCTTTGCTCATTCATTCTCATGCAGAAATAATAATAATAATAATAATAATAATGGTATATATGCTAGAGCTGAGACAGAAATCTGCATCAGTATCTAGGAACTTTTAGATGCTGGTATCTGCCAGCTCTTTCCCTACGTGTCTTACTCCTCTTCCTATAAATTCCAGATCCCAAAGTTCTCTCTCTTAATTGGTGATCGTCTACCCCTTAAAGTGCCCATTTTAAGTTGTTCTGACAATTACAGCAGGATATGTTATGGCATGTTCCCAATAGTCTTTGGCTCTGTGATCTTGCTCAGTTGTCCTAGAATTGTTTCTTGACTTCTGCTTTGTTAGCTGGCTTCTGACCCCTGGCCGGAGGCCCCAGGGTTTAGCCTTCATTGTCCTCTCAATGTCCCCACTCCTGAGGTCTGTCCAGTGGTCAATCTCTATAGGTTACTCCCAACCAAATCCAAAACAATTTTTAGATTTTAGTTTTTAAAAATCAAGTGCTTGACATTTAGAAAAAACTCTTTGAAAATCATCTCCAGAAGCAGTGTAACTGTTGTCATTGATAAGTATAATTCAGATTAAAAGAACTTTGTTTAATATATCTGATTATAATTTCACTGCTTGAGAAATATATACTGGATACATACAGTTGGTTATATGCAGTAATGTTTAAATTATGTATCAAAACTGAAATGCATTTTAAATCTGCAATGCAACTTTTATTGGGAAGGAATGAGAAGCCATTAAATTATATTCATTATACTTAATATATATTTTCATATGTCTATACATAATTATATATTAGCAGTTCTACATTTAATTTTATATTTAAAATTTAAAATGTAATTTTATTTGTAATAATTTAATCAGTGAAAGTATAAGGGCATTTCAGATTAAAATTCACTGTAAAAAGCTAATGTTAACTGTTTTATAAAGCAATTTTTCTCATAAAATTGATCTAGCAAAGAATAAACCCTTACACACACACCCACAGAAATGACACCACTTTAGCAATAGATTAGACCTTGAAAATTTATTTAAACAATGATAAAAAAAACTACTGAAACAAAAAATAACACCTCAAAACATAAAAAGAAATGCCATGTAAAAAGTAAAATGCTTAAAGTGAAAATATAGTATTACATTAATACCTTACCATCTCACATCTGACTTTTACCTATTCATCTAAATGTTTTCATTCAATACTTTTTTGAACACTATATTTATTTTATTAATATGTTGATATATTTTTCATAATGAATTTTGTTATTGTGATGATTTATACAACATTAAACTAAAAGGCAATTTATGACATCTTAGCAATTTGTTTCTGTTCCCTTTAATGAAAAAAGAAGAAAAAGAAGAAACAAAAAGAAAGAAATCAAAGAAATAATATATATATATATATATATATATATAAATGAATAAATGAGCATTCACTCCAGTAACTTTACTTTTTTTTTTTTTAGATACAGGGTCTCACTATGTTGTCCAGGCTGGTCCTGGGGACTCTTGTGCTAAGTCAGTGAGCCTCCTGCCTTAGCCTCCCACGTTCCTGAGACTATATGCATCCACCACGGCACCTGGCTTTAAGTCAAACTTTATAAAGTAGAGGAAATAAAATATTCTCATTAGAAGTAGTACAAAATAAAATGGTGGACACAAGTTTTTAACCTTGGATAATACACTTTCTTAAAAAGTATGTAAAATGTAATTTACGATGCCCTCAAGATACAAATTTTATTTCTTAAATTAATTTGAGTAAAAGGCTGGTTTGGGAAAATGATAAAAACCTACAATGACCTTTTACCACTAGATGGAGCCCAGGCATCTATATGGCAAAATTGTTTACTTGTGGCTGTATTTGATTAGGTACTGAGACTGACATGTGATCAGTACAACCTGAAAGGGGGGTAGGGGAAGATAGGTGTTTTGTAGACTGTAGTATCTTGACAAAATGTAAATTAATGAAAAGTAGATATTACGTCTTCTCTACAGAGTCCTCTTTCCTGGATACAGATTCTCCATCTCTGCACTTTTGTGCCTTCCCCTTCACATCCCACCTATTTTGTAAAGGCCTTTCAAGAACAATCAATAATACTCTTGAGGTTATTTCAGGTCCACTTTCCTTACCCCTTTCTCAACTCACTGGTCATATGAAACATTCATTCTTGATCTTGATCGTACATAGTTCTTACATGTGGTTACAGTGATTTCATATGAAGAAGTGGCCTTCGCTCCTCTGACAAAACTCCATGATAGCCCCATGGAATGGATGTCAACTTCAAAAGTACAAATGGCTGACTTGGGACAAATAGACACCATGCGTGAGGTAAGAGGGAAGGAGGAAGAGGGGCTTCCATGAGATAATGATAAGCTTATTTCTCAAACTGAATATTTCTAGATTGTATAATTCAGTCAAATTAAGGAAGGAGTCTTGTGATTGATGAGCAAAGGAAGAAGATTCTTCCCATAGGAGCAGAGTTAACTGTGAGAAATTCACTCTTTCCAAATGGGAAGTACAGGGATAACTGAAAAAACAATCTGGTGGACTTATTCCTCTGTCTCCTCCAAGTATGTGCTGAGAGTTCATAGAGAACTCACATATGCCTAAATATCCTTCCTCTCCTGCACCCCAGCTCCCTATCCAATTCCTTTGCTTTGTTCTTCCTCATATCTGACTTATCACTATGTAACATTCTATATATTTTATTAACTTATTGCTATAGTCTGTCTTTCCCTACTAGAATTTAAACTCCCTGAGAGTTTTGATTTTGTCTGTCTTATTTTCAGTATATCTTTAGAACATAAGACAATTCCTGGCACGTAGTTGATAACCATTAAGAATTTTTTAATGAATTAAACCATTGGTGTTGAAAACAAGTTATAAATTTCAGAAATCTGGGAAGAGAGATGATAAAAGAGCTCCAATGTAACCTTAGTAGTCTGCAGAGAGAAACCTTACATGAATAAAGTGGAAGATCTTAAAGGATATAACAAGAAATTGTCTATCCTCAAGCAGCCATGGAGCAGGTAAATAATAAATACTTGTTGGAAGGAAAAACACTGGTTTCTGAAATTAAAATGACAGAAGAATAATTCAAATAAATCTATACTACCAGAGAGGAAGGACCTAGGAACTAGCAGGTGCTGTTGTTATACAGTTGACATTTATTGACACAATAGATGTCACTTATTGACATCTGTGCCAGATATGTTCTGTTCATTGTCATATTTAATCCCCTTAAACCTAGTGAGATTCCCCTCCCCATTTTATGAGAAGGAAATGGTCAAGGATATGGGCTAGAAAGTGATAGTTTTGGAATTCAAACCCATCTCTTAGAAATCAGATGCTATGTACTAGATGGCGGAAGAGAGTTCCATATTTCAGGAGTATCTTTCCTTTGCTGAGTTTGGTAGAGAGTAGAGCTACAGCTCTCTAAATTTAAGGGAGTATCAATGCCATGCTTTAGGTTAGGGAACTATAAAATGAACAATACACAGATCTTGTGCTCAAGTAACTTATGGTCTGGTGGAGGAAAAGCAATCACTAACATACAGAAGTTTAGGGCATCATTTCTTTTGTCATACAGCAGATTTAATTACAGGATGTTATGAAGCTTTTACTTAGCTCCTACTTCTCTGCCAATCTCAATATCAAAAATAGAACTTGGTCCAGGGATTGGAGGTGGCTCACTGCACTCCTAGTCCTAGCACTATGGGAGGCTGAGGTGGGAGGTTACCTTCAGGTCAAGAATTTGAGACCAGCCTGAGCAAGAGTGAGACTCTGTCTCTACTAAAAATAGAAAAATAATTATCGAGGTTTGGTAGTGCATGCCTGTAGTCCCAGCTATTTAGGAGGCTGAAGCAGGAGAATCGCGTGAGCCTAAGAGTTGGAGGTGACAATGAGCTATGATGATGCTACTGTACTCTAGATGGGATAACAGAGCAAGACTCCATGTCAAAAAAAAAAAAAGAAAAAGAAAAGAAAAGAAGTAGAACTGATGACTTAGTAATACAGTCTATATGTATAAAGGATGATATTTTGACAATCATGTGTGTTGTCATTTCTGGATCTGAGTTACTAGAAAGTTTGAGCTTTTTTGATATTAAGCATTCCTTTTACTTCATATTCTGATATTTGAACTATTTGAATTTCTACAGAAGCCATCCTTCTGTTTGTGCTCAACAGTTACACACATTTTTCTGGGAAAAACTCATGCATGTACTTTATTTGCTTATAGAGACAATATATTTTAGTTATTAACAGCAGAGATTTTAAAGTCAAACCGCGTTGTGTGCAGATCTGGTCTTGCTAGTTATTTGACTTTAGCAATTTAGTTAACCTCCTTCTAAGCCTCATCTTCCTTGTCTGACAAATGGAGATGTAGGAATCAGCTTGCAAAATGGTCCCACTGACCTAGACCTTCCATTGTTCAACTGGCATATAAGCCCCACTCAAAATGAATCATGACTGGTCCTATGTGACCCATAGAATATGCTGGAAGTGATTGTGTGTGACTTCTAATAAAGATAGGTTATAAAAGGCATTATATTTTTCTCCTTGGCCTCTTAGATTATTCTCTCTGGAGGAAGCCAGAATCCATGTTTTGAGGACTTTGGGGCAATCAGGTAGAGATGTCTACATAGGAACAAGTGAGGCCACCTATTAATGGCTAGTATCTTTATGCTAGCCTTGGAAGGTGGTCCTCCAGCTCTAGCCTAGACTTTAAATGACTTTGTCCCCAGCCATTACGTGACTGTAACTATAAGAAAGACATAGAGAAAGTTCTGCCCAGCTAAGTCCTTCCTTAATTCCTGAACAACAGAAGCTGTGAGAAGTGAAGATGATTATTAGTGTTTAAGCCACTAATGTTTTTTAATAATTTAGTATGCAGCCATGATAACTGAAATGGGGTAATATAGTTGGTTGAATTATTGTGAAGATAAAATGAGGAAAATATATTAAAAAAGGATTAATATGTGACTAGAACACTATCTGTAGCTAAAAAATATGTGGTGGGTGCTATAAAATTGTGTGTGTGTGTATGTGTGTGTGTGTATGAGACAGAATGAGAGAGAGAGAAAAGCTCAGTGCTTAAAACTCAGGGAAAAGGATAGAAGAATGCCCTATCTCAAAACAGGCTGCGTTACTATATAGATTTTTGCAATTTATAGCCAAAACAATGTGTTCACTAAAACATATTATATCTTCTTGCTGGGCTTGCTTGCATTTCCCAGCCTTCTTTTTAATTAAGAATTGCCATGTGACTCAGTCTTGCCAGTGGAATGGTAACAGAGGTTATATGTGCTGCCCCCAAACCTTCCAATGCACAATCATGTATTCTCCTTCAACTCTTCTTTCAGAACGGAGGGGAGAGTGAAATCATAAGATGGAAGGAGACTGGGTTCCTAAAAGACCATAGAAAAGGGTACACACTAAATAGGAATACTAACATTGATCTTTATGTAAGCAAAAAATAAATTCTGTTTGTGTTAAGCCATTAATCCTCTGGAGTTTATCCACTGCAGTAGGTTTGGTGGTGTTAATTAATATTTACCTTCACTGGACACTGATACCTCTCTCCCTATCAGGACACCCTTTTCTGTTGTTGCCAGTCTACTCTGTGCTGGATTCTGATATACCATAGACCAGGGGTCCTCAAACTTTTTAAACAGGGCACCAGTTCACTGTCCCTCAGACCATTGGAGAGTGTGCACTGTGGGCACAGGATGAGTCAGCTGCTAAGCAGGACAGGCAGCGGTGAAGCGGCCTGCATGTGGCCCAAGGGCTGTAGTTTGAGGACGCCTGCCATAGACACTTAATACATGAGGAATTGAGTTGATCTCAACTGTTAAGTGCACCACTGAGATTAAAGTCTGTCTCATCTGGAAAATTCACTAAATCTAACTAAAAGAGACTACATTTTCAGGCACTGGATTTAATGTATTTCACATCAATTTTTCTCTACTCTAATGTACTCATTATATCCTCTTTCTGATATGTTATCTCATTTTCCCCCTTCACTTGCCCACCTCAGTTATAGGTGTAGCCATTTCTCACCTGGAATCCCGATTTCCTCATTTGTTAGTTGTACGATCCTGAGCAAGTCAAAATATGCTATAAGACCTTCCTTGTATTCTCTAAGAATAGATAATATTAAATGAGATAATCTAAATGAAGTAAAGGATCCCCCTGAAAGTGCCTGGTATTTTTGTAGGTGTCTAATAATTAATACCTAATATTATTCAAAATAAAAAAGTATTTACTGAAATGACTTATATTCACTACCAAAATGAAAATACATTTCATTTTTTTGATACATAATGATATTTAAAACCCAACATTTTAATATCACAATTCTCTGGCAGATATTATAACATAACATCAATATCTTACATTATGGTATATAATTACATGATGCTTTCTGGCATATGAAAGTCAAATGGATCAGTTCTTCTTTTTGTTATCCTTTTCCTTTCCTTGATTTGAAATCTCTCTGGCAATAGAAACTTTTCATAAACACCAGAAGGAAAAGCTTATAGTCCAAACATATAACCAGAAAATTGAACTCAACTCAATTTTACCATAATACCCTGCACTAATGTGATGATACAGCTGACAAAATTTAACAAGCTTACTGGTATTTATATCAGAGAACCACTTTGTAGCTTGAAATGGATACACATACCAGCAGGTGTCAAGACTCAACAACAATCCACTTTTAAAGTTAAATGCACATTACACACTGAAACTCTACAGAGAAAACAACTATCTTTCTCCCCCCACAACCAAAAAAAAAAAAAAAAAAGGCTTCTTCTACACTATTCACTAATGAGAGTGCACTTAACTGATACATAAATGAATTGTAAAAATCCTTTCTGGCCTAAGAAACATCAAAGTCCATTTCATAAATAAGAAATAAAATGAGACTTCCTTTCAACAAAACAAACATCTTGATGATGACTTTTTTTAAACCACATTAACAAGGGATTTAGAGTGCTTATATTCCCTTTGAACTTGGTAGTAAGTTTCAATGTGTTTTGCATGTTGATGTTAAATATGGCTCTGACAAGTGCTAATGTATACCCCTTGGATTACTTGATACTCTCTATAGAGATTCACTACTGAATTTGAAAAAATATATATTAAAAAAAATAAAGTTTCTTCTTTGACTTCAAACATTAACTTGGAAAAAAAAGTAACAAAAGAGGAATATCTACATTTAAAGTGGTTGGAAAGTATCGATTATATAAATTATTTTACACAAACCTAGACATCACAATCAATAGTTCCCAAGATGATTGCAATAAATATCTGGGAAGACAGGTTAAAATAATTGTTGTTTAGTATTTAATAGTCATTGTTTTTCACAATTTCCAAATTCGTATTGTATTCATTCATAAAATAGCTCTTCCTCCAGCTATCTCAATATATCAACATTTATTATGGACCTAATGTGTTAAATTTCTCACTACTATAGTATGTAAGCAAACCCAAGTAAGTGTGAATGAAACAAATCACCAAGGAAAGGAGTTAAATTTTCACAATACCAAGGGGATTCCTGAGATTAGGAATCCTCCAAATAATGTAAAAGGTAGTTTCACAAAGTGCCTCTATTTTCTTATCATCTTTTACATGTAAAGACTAATGACAAATGAGCTTAAAAGCAGCAAAGGAAAAGACATAAACAGAAAAGAATAATTCACAAAGCAAATTTGAAACTCTAAATATCATCTTGAAATGACATATTGGAATGTAAAATTTCAAATCATTCTGAAGTTTTTAACAATAAAAAATTATCAAAAAAGTTTTATTTGTGCCCTTGTCAATTCATTCATTTTAAGGAATATGCACTTGCCCTTTTATTTGTTTATAATTACAATTGTTTGCTTTTAAAAATAGTCCTATCTTTGGGGCATTTAAAAATGTCACCTCATTCTACTCTCCCTTTGTGATATCAAAGTGTCTTAAAAGTAGGTGATTAGAAAATAGCAATCTGTTGGAACTTCAATCCTGTGCCTTCCCCTGGGGCAGTGGATTATTTCTTCATCAGAATATCTGTTAGTTAATACCAAAGGCTTTGCCCAACTTCAAAGCAGAGATATTAAAGGCTCACTTTCCACTACAAGGCAGGTGTATTTTTATTAGCTTTCTCTTTCAAAATTGCTATGACTTCACTTGCGGATATCCCGCCAACAACCATTATTGAAAGCCTTACTATAATTGCTAAGTTACATGCAACGTCTGAAGTACAAAACCAATGTCACTTACAGCCCTCCAACAATTGACTGAAACCAAGTGTTACATCATTAAAGCTGAATTACAACACACCCACGGCGTGTTTTCCATGTGTGCTGTATTTCAAACAATAGTAGAGCAAAACCTGGCTATAAATTCACAGATCCCCAATTTGTTCAAATTCATGAACAATAAGAGCTGTCCGAGAGCTTTTGCTGGCTCTATTTTAGTCAGAAATGTCATGCACCAAAATTAAATGTCTGTTTGGATTTTATTGGAGATGGAAATGCTAGCTTTATGTTGTAAATTTAAACAACCTGCCACAAAGGGAGACTCACATTTGTATCGCTTGGGAAGGCATATTCATCTCTAATTGCTTGTGGTAACACAAATAAACGAATGTAAAGTGTTCCATTCCTTAACTGGTTTTGTGTAAAATAAATCGGCTGAAGTGATGATGGCATGGGGTTTCAGTGGATTCAGGGATTTCTTTAGTAGAGTTGGATATGGAGTCCACGCATTTAGCTATTGTTAATGATTAGGAAGTTGTCTGGAAATTCATGAACATTCAATAAGACATTCATTTAATGCTGATAAAAGAAAATACTGGTAACATATTCATATTACTCTTTTTTTTTTCTAATTAGATTCAATCCATTTCATTATTCAGTGATCTAAGTGGAAATATTTCTTCTGTCATAGTGGTATGCAAAGCTATTATAATTACTTTTTTAGAAAGGTCGACAACTTTTTTATTTGGCTTCAGTGATTTTATGGTGCCTAGATTCCACCGGAAAATATTTAGTCACTCACTTACTTGGATAGAAATCCATCACCTGGAATAGAAATCATGGTAAACGTGCCAGCATCTTTGTGCAGACAGGCCTGAAAATATATACTGGGCAAGGCTACTGCCAAATGACTTGTGTCTGGCCAGCACTACCCTGAAATGTTCTCTGCATACCAGTTACTGTTAAGATTTATTACAGTATGTGTAGATAAATATATTTTAGTTTTCATATCCATAATTTAGATAATACAGTAGCAATCCACATGCCACACATTACCTGTCTTCAGTTGTAGTTTCAGTAGCTGCCATTCAAAATATTCGGATTTCTCACCAAAACCTAATGGTAGCCTTCATGTTATTTTAAATGGATCACACTAAACCAAGTGCAGGAATTTACAAAATACTTTTTTTACCAATCCATAGAAAAATTAGTGTAGATCTTTTTAATACGTCCTCAACATGAGAAAATACATCATAATAAATAAAAGACCTATTTCAAAATACATGGGAGAACTGGGGCCCTGTAAAAACTGATAAACATCTTAAAGCTAAGTGGTTGTCTGCTATGATGCTAAATCAACTACTCCTATACTTTCTATTTATTTAAATCCTTGGATTTATATGAAAAGTAAATAACACCTCCTCCCGAAAATTCTATAGGTCATCTCTTCTAGCACATTCAATTCACAGCACAAATTATGATGGCAAAAGAAATTCATCACATCTACCAAGAAAAAAAACAAAACAAAAACAAAATAAAACAAAAAAACTATGCTCTCACCACAAATATATGTCCACCCAATTCTTTCTTTATTTAGAAATCTCAGTGCCAACTGAGTCAAAGCAGCCATACTATTTTAAGGTTTATTTGTTTTCTTTAAATTTGGCGGACACTGTTCTTTCCTATAAAATTGGTTGAGTCAGTATGGAAAAACAACATACACCATTAACTTTCAGCATACCCACTTGCTATTTTTCATCTTGAATCCCAAAATCAATCTTACTGATTCATGTAGAAGAATTGCTGTTGAATAAAAAAAATATTTTATGAAATGATGTGTTCCTAGTTAATGATTTTGGAAAACTTCAATTGTCATTTAAATGTGTGCCATTGAATATATTAATCACATTCTCTAGATTCTAGGAGATGGGCTGTTATACTCATTAAATATTTGTAATTCTGCTATTCGGTGCATTTTGATACACATTGAGAAAGTCAAAGACAAACTAAGCTATATGTTATTTCCAATTTCAACATTGCTAGTAAGTCTTAGATTGTAACAGTTATGTGATTTAAAAAGCATTTATTAAGTAATTGCTTATCAAGCCCTATACACATCTCAACAAATCAAGATGGCCTGCGTTGTATTTACATTTAGA